AAGAAAATTTTCGAAATTTTTCTGTTCTGAAAAAAATATTCAAATTTTCTCCTTAATGAAAATATTCAAATTTTCTCTTTTAATGAAAATTTTCGAAATTTTATTTTTTTTTTATAGAAAACTTATGCAATTTTCTCTTTTTTATAATTAATTATTGTTATCATTTTTAAAAAATTCCGCTTTATATGGAAGAAATTCCAAAATTGTTCTTTTCATTAGAAATTCTCAAAAAATTCTCTTTTTATAAGAAATTCTCTTTTCGAGAAAATATTAGAGACAAGATTTGTCTTCTCTTATAGAAAGCTTTCGAAATTTTCTCTTTTTATAGAAAATTGTCTCAAATTTACTTTCTAACTTTTTCTTTTTTTTTTTTTTTTGTAGAAAATTTTCTTTTTCTCTTTCTACACCCTACACCACAACTGTGGTCCTACACCCACCTAAAAATAAACCATTCGGCTCAGAATAACTTCCTGAGTCGATTCAGCTATGTCCGTCTGTGTGACCATGTAAATCTTGTAATAATAATAATAATAATAATAATAATAATAATAATAATAATAATAATAATAATAATAATAATAATAATAATAATAATAATAATAATAATAATAATAATAATAATAATAATAATAATAATAATAATAATAATAATAATTTGATGAAACTTGGCTCATACTCTTTATTTGACCTAAGGACGAAGCCTCTCAAAAATCGGTGCATTATTTCGCATAGCCCCCATACAACCGTACCCCCAGAATAGAGCTTTTGAGCTCATAAATGTTCAATCATTTCACTTAAATGTTCTTGTATCATTCCAAAAATCGTCGTAATGATCGGGCTTCATTTAACCCTTTCCCCCATATGAAGTCCCCTTCAGAAAATGACTTGATGGTCAAAAATCACTTATATTCTGCATCATATGGTCAACCATTCCCGACTATACATTCTTACTTATTCTATTATAAAAATTTTACTTATTTTTGCCACCATTTAAAGGCGATATTTCCCAGTTGCCACTGTGCGTATGATTGATATTATTTTTTTAAATAACAAAGTTAATATCAATCATACGTATAATAACATGACTCATGACTGGACGTTTTTAATCGTTATCCATCACTTACCGGTCTTGTTCTAAATTGTCTAAGAAGCTTTATTTTAATCTGTTTTAAAAAAGATAGTCTTTTATAGTCACCAGAATAAAATTAGAAAAATGAAGTGTAAAACAATATATATATTTACTCACCAAAAGGGGAAGTTTTTTTAAAAACCTCCCAGACACTATTACTACTATGTTGTTCTACCGATATTTCGGTATGATACTAAATAAACCTGTATAGCTGCCTTTTCGAGAAGAAAAAATACAAATATTTATTAAACAGTTTAATTCTCAGAATGAAACAAAAAGTAATCGTAAGAGGCTAAAAACATCCACTCCCATTTTTCGCTAAAAACTACAATAAAGTAGTTAACGAAAAATCTGCAGTGTAATAAATAAAAGAAACGAAAAAAAAAAAAATTATAAATAAAGACAACAACTCGATGTAATCAATGAAATTTTATAAAAATTCACAAGACAAAAGAAATCTCTCAGGGTAAAAGATAAAAAAAAAATTGTAAGAAAACAACAATCAATATCATTATGATTATTATGTTGCTAAATAACAATGTTACTGCTGCTACTGTTGATAATGATGTTGCTACTGCAACAACAATATTGCTAACGACTTATTACAGTAATGAGGTAAAAGGGAAAAACAAACCAAAAAAAAAAAAAAAAACACAAAAAAAAAAAAAAAGAGTGAACAAATAAGAATTAATTCAGTGATGCAATTCTTTTGTTTTTCGCCTCTTATAAGTATTCGCCGATTTCCTCTTATTTTCGCTTTCGAAATTACTTTAGTGTATGTGTTATTATTAATGATGATCACTATTGTAAATGTATGGTTGGGAAATATGTACTATATCTTGATGGATGTAAATTGATTTTTTTTTGTTTAATTATTTTTTGGACACCATTTGCAAAATTAACACAAAATGCTATCCTAACAGAAAATTTGTTCAAAAATGCCTTTTGTAGAAGAATTTCGAAATTTTTTTATTTACAGCAAATTTTTCGAAAATTTCAGCGAAATTCTTCTTAAAACGAAATTTTCCTTAAAACAAAAATTTTCGAATATTTCTGTTTATACAGAAATTCTACAGCAACAACTTCATACAATACCAGAAATGAAATAGAACTGAACTAGAACTGAACTAGAACTGAACTAGAACTGAACTAGAACTGAACTAGAAGTGAACTAGAACTGAACTAGAACTGAACTAGAACTGAACTAGAACTGAACTAGAACTGAACTAGAACTGAACTAGAACTGAACTAGAACTGAACTAGAACTGAACTAGAACTGAACTAGAACTGAACTAGAACTGAACTAGAACTGAACTAGAACTGAACTAGAACTGAACTAGAACTGAACTAGAACTGAACTAGAACTGAACTAGAACTGAACTAGAACTGAACTAGAACTGAACTAGAACTGAACTAGAACTGAACTAGAACTGAACTAGAACTGAACTAGAACTGAACTAGAACTGAACTAGAACTGAACTAGAACTGAACTAGAACTGAACTAGAACTGAACTAGAACTGAACTAGAACTGAACTAGAACTGAACTAGAACTGAACTAGAACTGAACTAGAACTGAACTAGAACTGAACTAGAACTGAACTAGAACTGAACTAGAACTGAACTAGAACTGAACTAGAACTGAACTAGAACTGAACTAGAACTGAACTAGAACTGACTAGAACTGAACTAGAACTGAACTAGAACTGAACTAGAACTGAACTAGAACTGAACTAGAACTGAACTAGAACTGAACTAGAACTGAACTAGAACTGAACTAGAACTGAACTAGAACTGAACTAGAACTGAACTAGAACTGAACTAGAACTGAACTAGAACTGAACTAGAACTGAACTAGAACTGAACTAGAACTGAACTAGAACTGAACTAGAACTGAAACTAGAACTGAACTAGAACTGAACTAGAACTGAAACTAGAACTGAACTAGAACTGAACTAGAACTGAACTAGAACTGAACTAGAACTGAACTAGAACTGAACTAGAACTGAACTAGAACTGAACTAGAACTGAACTAGAACTGAAACTAGAACTGAACTAGAACTGAACTAGAACTGAACTAGAACTGACTAGAACTGAACTAGAACTGAACTAGAACTGAACTAGAACTGAACTAGAACTGAACTAGAACTGAACTAGAACTGAACTAGAACTGAACTAGAACTGAACTAGAACTGAACTAGAACTGAACTAGAACTGAACTAGAACTGAACTAGAACTGAACTAGAACTAAACTAGAACTGAACTAGAACTAAACTAGAACTGAACTAGAACTGAACTAGAACTGAACTAGAACTGAACTAGAACTGAACTAGAACTGAACTAGAACTGAACTAGAACTGAACTAGAACTGAACTAGAACTGAACTAGAACTGAACTAGAACTGAACTAGAACTGAACTAGAACTGAACTAGAACTGAACTAGAACTGAACTAGAACTGAACTAAAACTGAACTAAAACTGAACTAGAACTGAACTAGAACTGAACTAGAACTGAACTAGAACTGAACTAGAACTGAACTAGAACTGAACTAGAACTGAACTAGAACTGAACTAGAACTGAACTAGAACTGAACTAGAACTGAACTAGAACTGAACTAGAACTGAACTAGAACTGAACTAGAACTGAACTAGAACTGAACTAGAACTGAACTAGAACTGAACTAGAACTGAACTGAACTAGAACTGAACTAGAACTGAACTAGAACTGAACTAGAACTGAACTAGAACTGAACTAGAACTGAACTAGAACTGAACTAGAACTGAACTAGAACTGAACTAGAACGAACTAGAACTGAACTAGAACTAGAACTGAACTAGAACTGAACTAGAACTAGGACTGAACTAGAACTGATCTAGAACTGAACTAGAACTGAAAGAAAAGATCCTGTTTGCATATAATTTATTTTCTTGTTTCTACCTCTCTGTGATTCAAACAGTTCAGGATATTAAAAACCCTGTTAGCACTTTAACTTTGCTTTAGTTAAACATACATTTTCCATGTTTGTTTTTTATGTAAACCATATAATAATTACCATCCTCCATAACTTTTAAATGCATAATTAAATACAAAATTATATTCCTGTTTGTTTTTTATTCTATTTATTTTGTTGTTGTTGGTAAAAACCAGACCGGAAATGGTGTTGTAGTACTTAATGTTTGTATATTATTTTTCATATTTTTCTGGGGCTTGTTTTTTTGCATTTTTTCATATACCATGTCTCATCCACTCTGTGTGTTGTTTTTTTTTTTTGTGCATTTCATTCGGTTATAGTTTATTATGAAATTCATTGTTGTCGTGTATGCCAGCCAGGCCATTAATGTTGCAGGCAATAAAAAAGCCACAGAAAACTGAAATAAAAATGGGAGGAATAGTATTGCCACTACTGCAAATACAACAAAGTTGTAACCAACTCATCACTATACACCAACTCATATTTTCTGTTTGTTTTCGTTTTATTTTTTTTTCTTTGCACTTCCGCTTCCTGTTTGTAGCTACTAGTAGCAGTATTAATTTTGTACTTGTGAGAATGAGTTTGAGTATATGTGTTGCTGATGATGTTGTTACTCGGTGTTGCTACAACATCATAATAATTTTTGCTTCATTTTCTGTTTATATTTTTTCTTTTTTTTTATTTAATTTTTAATATTTTTTCTCATTGTTGTTTATATTTCAGTTGTTTTACACTATTTTCTTTATTTATTTTATGTTTTATGAAATTATGCTCTTGCTGTGTTGTTGCATTATGATTATATTTTATTCTCTTTTTGTTTTATTTTTTATGGTTCCTTTTCATTTTACAATACTCTATATATAATTCAATTTGTTTGTATTTTTCTGTTTGCTATTAACAGGACCTCCTGGTCCTCCAGGTCCACCAGGACCCCCGGCTAGTGGCAGTCGTCATCATGATCATGATGAAGAAGAGGAGACTCCCTACTATTCAGCAGCTTCTTCTTGGAATATGCGTATTGTTCCGGGAGCCGTAACATTTCCCAATATTGATGAAATGACAAAGGTAAATTGAATTTTTTGTTCTTTTCTCTTCTCAGTGTGTCATTTCTTGTTATTGTCTTGTTTGAATAATATAAATGTATGAAATTGTCTTACTTTCTGTTTTTTATTGTCTTGTTTTTTTTTTTTTTTTTTTTTTTTTTTGTTAATAGAAATCTGCCATGAATCCACCTGGTACTTTGGCATATATAACTGAAGAGGAAGCGTTATTAGTGAGAGTCAACAAAGGTTGGCAATATATTGCGGTAAGTGATTTATTTTTTTTAATATAATAAGGCAAATGTTTTTTGATAAAGGAAAATGCAAGATTTTCTCGCTTTTGGGAATGGAAGTTTAACAGGAATGGAACTAATTAACAATATTTTTAGTTGAAGTGGTATATAAGTTATTTATAATTAGATGATGTAATATTCTTAAAACTCCATAATTGAAAGCTGATTAAAAGGAACTAATCCTTACTGAACAAAATTCAATGTATTCCATTCCATTTCGAAAAAATTATAGTTAATTGTTCCAAATACCTTTAGAAAATCGATCTGGAATCAACCGCTTACACGCTATTCTATGGAAGCGTTCAAAAAGCATCAAATTGATCGCATACTTTTCTAAATCAAACTGATCGCAGAGCTTTCTATAGAATACAACTGATCTCACACTTTTCTAGAGAAAACTGATCTCACACTTTTCTATAGAAAACTGATCGCACACTTTTCTAGAGAAAACTGATCTCACACTTTTCTATAAAAACTGATCTCACACTTTTCTATAGTAAACTCAAACTTTTCTATAGAAAACTGATCTCAAACTTTTCTATAGAAAACTGATCTCAAACTTTTCTATAGAAAACTGATCTCAAACTTTTCTATAGAAAACTGATCTCAAATTTTTTTATAGAAAACTGTTCTCACACTTTTATATAGAAAACTGTTCTCACACTTTTATATAGAAAACTGTTCTCACACTTTTATATAGAAAACTGTTCTCACACTTTTATATAGAAAACTGTTCTCACACTTTTCTATAGAAAACTGTTCTCACACTTTTCTATAGAAAACTGTTCTCACACTTTTCTATAGAAAACTGTTCTCGCACTTTTCTAGAGAAAACTGATCTCACACTTTTCTATAGAAAACTGATCGCACACTTTTCTATAGAAAACTGTTCTTACACTTCTCTATAGAAAACTGTTCTCACACTTTTCTATAGAAAACTGTTCTCACACTTTTCTATAGAAATCTGTTCTCACACTTTTCTATTGAAAACTGTTCTCACACTTTTCTATAGAAAACTGATCTCACATTATTCTGTAGGAAATCGATCTCACATTTTTATATAAAAAACTGATATCAAACTTTTCTATAGAAAACTGATCTGACACTTTTGTACAGAACTGTTCTCACACTTTTCTATAGAAAACTGTTCTCACACTTTTATATAGAAAACTGTTCTCACACTTTTATATAGAAAACTGTTCTCACACTTTTCTATAGAAAACTGTTCTCACACTTTTCTATAGAAAACTGTTCTCACACTTTTCTATAGAAAACTGTTCTCACACTTTTCTATAGAAAACTGTTCTCACACTTTTCTATAGAAAACTATTCTCACACTTTTCTATAGAAAACTATTCTTACACTTTTCTATAGAAAACTGTTCTCACACTTTTCTATAGAAAACTGTTCTCACACTTTTCTATAGAAAACTGTTCTCACACTTTTCTATAGAAAACTGTTCTCACACTTTTCTATAGAAATCTGTTCTCACACTTTTCTATTGAAAACTGTTCTCACACTTTTCTATAGAAAACTGATCTCACATTTTTCTATAGGAAACCGATCTCACATTTTTATATAAAAAACTGATCTCAAACTTTTCTATAGAAAACTGATCTGACACTTTTGTACAGAAATCTGATCTCACACTTTTCTATACAAAACTGATCTCACACTTTTCTATACAAAACTGGTCTCACACTTTTCTATAGAAAACTGATCTCACACTTTTCTATAGAAAACTGATCTCACACTTTTCTATAGAAAACTGATCTCACACTATTCTATATAAAACTGATCTCACACTTTTCTATAGAAAACTGATCTCACACTTCTCTATAGAAAACTGATCTCACACTTTTCTATAGAAAACTGATCTCACATTTTTTTATAGAAAACTGATCTTACACATTTCTATAGAAAACTTTTCGCCCTTTTTTTAAAGATCGTTCAATATTCCATAAAATACTAATTGTGAAAAACTGATTGCACTAAGCAGTTTTCTGATAGATATTCTTTAATTTTAAATAAATTCTCTTACTCCACTTAAATCTCTAAAATAAATGTCAATTCATATAAATGTATGAATGGGAAAATCTGCTTTAATTTATTAAAATCATTTAATCGTATTCAGTTTTAAGGAAAATATTTTTGTTTTAATATACAAAGAGACAGTTTTTTTTCATAATTTATCTTCTAATCTTATGGGCTGGGGTGACCTTTTTCATTGTGTATATAAAATCCTTATAAGAAATAAGTAATTACATTACAAATTATATATGCAATAGGGTTTCCCAATTTCACACATATTGTTACTTTTTAGAAAATAGTAAGAAAACCTAGCGATACGTTGCAAGATACTCCGGATCAGCATCTAATTTAAGTAATTTTAAAACTCATTGACAATTTTTGGGAAAAACATTCCTAAGGTTTTCTGGGATTTTTCCTTCGGTTTGCAAACCCTAGCAGGAGTAAAAAAAATATTTTTTTCTTATTTATGTGAAGGAATTCTATATTTACTTAAGCAAAGACAAATTAAAAATAAATTATAAAGGAATGAATATTTTTTTTACTTTGTAAGTATAATCTTGGAATATTTTTGCTTAAAAAAAAGACACGAGGCATATTTTATTATAATAAAGAAATTAGGGGAGTAAAATTAGAACAATAAAGCTTAAAAATAAAAAATTTAAATATTTTTTTTAAGAAATTGACTGACAACAGCACAGATTCACATGAATACATAATTCACCTAAACTTAACAAATAGTTTTCCCCTAGTTTTTGTAATGGCTTTTGGAATTTTTAGATTTTTCTTCTATTACTTCAAAGTAGTGCTTTCTTTAGAATGACAGAGAATTTTTAAATTCGTAGAATGTTGTTGTACAATGTGGGCATTTCATCACAATAATAATAATAATAATAAAATGTTGATTGTTTTATTTTTATACTAAATAAATAATATAATTGCTGTAATAAGAAGTACACAAGCAATTACTTACTAACCTTATTATAATCTTTGTTTTCGTATTAAAAACGAAACATAAATAACAAAACGTCATAAATTAAAAGCGAAATAAAATACAAAATAAACCAAAATATAAATATATTTATTCAAAACAACTGGCAAGTTGATGTATGCATAAAAATAACAGAGTTTTGAAGATAAAAATTCTTTAAAATAAAATACAGACAATGTCAAACCTTTTGACATTGATCCTACACTTTTCAATAGAAAACTGATCCCACACTTATATAAAACAAATCTTACACTCTTCTGTATAGAAAACTGATCACATACATTTCCATAGAAAACTGATCCCACACTTTTCTATACAAAACTGAAATCACACTTTTCTGACACTTTTCTATAGAAAACTGATATTACACTTTTCTATAGAAAACTGATATTACACTTTTCTATAGAAAACTGATATTACACTTTTCTATAGAAAACTGATCTCAAACTTTTCTATAGAAAACTGATCTCAAACTTTTCTATAGAAAACAGATCTCACACTTTTCTATAGAAAACTGATCTCACACTTTTCTATAGAAAACTGATCTCACACTTTTCTATAGAAAACTGATCTAACACTTTTCTATAGAAAATTGATCTGACAATTTTCTATAGAAAATTGATCTCACACTTTTCTTTAGAAAACTGATCTCACATTTTTCTATAGAAAACTGATCTCACACTTTTCTATAGAAAACTTATCTCACACTTTTCTATAGGAAACTGATCGCAAACTTTTCTATAGAAAATTGATCGCACACTTTTCTATAGAAAACTGATCGCACACTTTTCTATAGAAAACTGATCGTACGCTTTTCTATAGCAAACTGATCGTACACTTTTCTATAGCAAACTGATCTCACACATTTCTATTGCAAACTGATCTCACACTTTTCTTTAGAAAACTGATCTCACACTTTTCTATAGAAAAACTGATCTCACACTTTTCTATAAAACTTTTCTAATAGAAACTTTTCTATAGAAAACTTATCGTACACTTTTCTATAGTAAACTTATCGTACGCTTTTCTATAGAAAACTGATCTTACACTTTTCTATAGAAAACTGATCGTACACTCTCTGATCTAACACACTTCTATGGAAAAGTGGAAACTGATCGAAATTTTTTCATTTCAATTGTAAACTTATTAAAGCTTTTTCATGTAAAAGCTTTACTTACCAAAAACGATTGCATTCCTTTAAAGTCAACTGCATTAACAGAACACAAATGTACACAGGCAATATTCTTTTTGGGGTTTTTAACAAAATAGCTAATGTTGATGTTTTTATTTCAAATACCTTTTTTTTATCATTTTCCATTTTTGGTTGTTTGTAATCTAATTTTTTGTGCTGTGAGGGGAGGCTCAACAACAATAAGTATACGAGCTACACAAACAACAGAAGAAAAAGTCAAAATCAAAATAATGGCTGTATATACAATTGTATTGTTAAGCTTTTACATGTGTTAAAGTTGATTTTTTGTCATTTGTCTTAGTGAGTGTATGACTTACTGTCTGTCTGTCATTCTGTTTGTTTGTTTGTTTGCCTGATTGTCTGCTTATAAGAACAAGTATGTTAGAAGCAAGTAAGTAGTAAACATGTATGCACTCACGCATACAGTCATATAGGCATAAGTATTTACACTGTGTATACACGTGTTATGTGTCCGGAGGGGAATGGGAAATGGAAATTAAACAAAATAGTATTTAAAAAGGTTTACATTTTAATATTTAAGTCAATTGTTAGTACAAAAACTTAATTAAAATTATTTTAAAATTTTAAAAATTTTTTTTAACTTTTTGTTACACACTGTAATGTATTGTGAAAATAAACAAATACACAAATACAATAATAATAAAATAAAAACACAACAATTTAATGGCAAACATATTAAATGGAAAAAAAAATTGTTCCCTTAGGCAACATTATTATATTGACAATGATTTCAAGTTATTT